CAGCGGCAGCAGCGAGCGCATCTCCTCCTCGTCGCGGAACGGGCTCTCTCCGAAGCGCTCCTCCAGCTGCCGGCGAAGCTGGGGTGGGGATGTAGGGGTTCGGTCGGTGCCAGGCAGTTGGCCCGGTCCCCTCCCCAACCCTTGGGCGAGCTCTCCACACCTCGCTAGGCCCCTCCCCTTCCCGAGTGTCCTCTGAGCCCCGCTTCTGCGTTTCCATCCCCTTACTGAGCCCCTCCACGAGTCCCTCCCCTCCCTCTGAACCCACTTTCCTTAGGACACTCCATCTTCCAGACCTGCCAGCGTGACCCTCCCCCCTGCACAGCGACTCCACTCACTCGGGGCCTCTTCTGTGCCTGCCTCTTCCCTAAAGCCTTGCAGATAAGCCTCTGGATGCCAGCCTGCCACCTGCTGGGAGCCTTCCTGCACTTGCTGCTTCTCTCTCTCTGTCTCTCTTCCCCGGTTGTCCCGGAAGCCTCAGTCCCTGATATCTCCACGTGCCATCTGCCCACTGGGCAGAAGAGAAGGGAGTGCTTTGGCCTCATCAGGGATGCAGGGGTGGAGTAGGACATGGGCATTTCTCTCCAAAGGGGCCCAAACGCTCAAATGCCCTTCAGGTTCCAGGCAGGTAGTTCTGGGACCTGATCAAATGGGAGGGTCCAGAGTCTGGCCCAAAGGCATTCAAATTCTCAATGAAAAAGAAAACATCTAGTATCCAAACAAACACACCCAGGGGCTATATTAGCTCACGGGCCATGAGTTTGAGGCCCTAGAAAAATCTTCTGCCAGGTCTGAAGCAGAGGCTAAATTCTTTTTTTTGTTTGTTTTTGTTTTTTTGTTTGTTTGTTTTTGTTAATCCTCACCCGAGGATATTTTTTCCATTGATTCCTAGAGAGAGTGGAAGGGAAGGGGGGAAGAGAGGGAGAGAGAGAGAGAAACATCGATGTGAGAGACACACATCGATTGGTTGCCTCCCACATTCTCATCAAACCTACAACCCAGGTACATGCCCTTGACCAGTAACTGGGCCCATGACCCTTCAATCCATGGGCCGGTGTTCTAACCACTGAGCAATGCTGCCAGGGTTCAATTCTTTCCAAGCAATGCTCAGCTCAAGTGGGAAGAGCCTCCCACCCTGCCCCAGCCCCTGCCCCAGTCCCTACCTTCCGGGAACTGCCCCAGCCAAACTCTTCAAGCTGCTGTCTAAAGCCTGGGTTGGGGTTAGCAATGGGCCGGGTGGACTTGATGGCTTCGAGCACTTCCCGCCAGCCTAGTCCCGTCACAGTCATCACATACGCTGTCACGATGGTGGTGCTTCGAGAGATGCCTGCAAAGCTGATGACCCCACCCCACGCTTCAGGGAAGGCCCAGTCTTCTCTGTGCCCCCCAGACACCCCATCCCACTTCCACTCTCCCACCCTTGCCTCCTGAGCTCCAACCACAGGGAACCTACCAGGACCTATCTTCCCACCTCCAGGCCTTTGCCCATTCTGTTCCCTCTGCCTGGAGCATCCCCAGGCATTCCTCCACATTAAAGTCCTGAGTGAAACATCATTTCATTCATTCATTCAACAAACATTTACTGATCATGTGTTATTTTTCAGACACTGGGGATCCCGTGGGAAGTAAAACAGAGATGGTCTCTGTCATCCTGATGCTTAGAGTCTGGTTGGGGGAGACAGACACTAAGCAGGGAAACAGTTTCAGGTGGTGACAGTGAAGATGAGTCCGGGGGCCAGGAGATGGTATAGGAAGAGATATTAATCTAGTGGGGGGATGGGGAGGATGAGGGAAGCTGTTCCCAGGGAAGTGACACCAAGCTGAGTCTTGAACAGTATGTAGGAAAGACCATGAGGTGGGAGCCTGGTGGGTTTGAAAAACAGGGAGATGGCCAGTGCACTTGGAGCAGGGGAAGGAGGGAGAGAGGGTGAGAGACAAGGCTGGAGGTAGCTGTTCCTGCGGCTGGGGCTCCAGCATAGGGTTCGTGCTCAGTGAGAAGTTATGAAATGAGTGACATAGACTGGGCTAGGGGCTCCTGGGAAGCCTTGGGGGTCCCGCCTCCCAGCCTGGGGTTCTCTACTACCTGCACTACTATGGCCTCAAATGCCTGGAGGGGAGGGGAGGGAGCCAGAACTGTTGGTGGGTATTTGGTTACCTGCATGACCTCACCTGTCCCTCCCAAGGGCCCACCATGTCAGCATTCTTTTCCCCATTTTACAGATGAGGAAATTGAGTCTCAGGGAGAAACAGCTATTTGGCCTTGGCCTCACAGCTGGTGAAGGACAGAGCCCTGATCTGAGCCCCCTTGCAGCTTCTATCAGCTGAACGGTGGATTGTCAGCCATTGTGACAACTGGACAAGATCTGTCACACGTTCCTCCTTCCCCACTGGATGAGTGTGTGTCTGGGGTAGAGGACAGCCACCTACTTCCTTTCTCCCCACTCCCCCCTTAACTCACCAGTGCACAAGGCAGTTCCCCCCGTTGAGGCGGCAGCAGTGGATGAAGTTGATACATTCTTTGAAGTGCTTTTTGCTAGAGAAGAAAGCAATAGGGAGGGAGCACTGGGGTGGGGGGTGTCTCCCAGTTGCCCCCCTCCCCATTTATGGGATGGCAAGAGACAAAGAGCCTGAGGGTCCCTAGGTCAGCTGGTGCGTGCAGTGAGTAGGGGCCAATGCTGTCGTTTGAGATGGGGATGTGTGTGAACAATAAAGAGAGGCCAGTCGGGGCAGATCCCACTACAGAGGCCGGAGAACCTCCCCAATGTGTCCTGGGGACCCTATTTCCACAGGGGAGGGGGCATCTTGATTTTTCAAGGAAATGGGTGGGAGGAGACACACTGGTCCTCCTCCTCTGGGGGTCTGCAATCAAAGCATCCGGGGACAGCGATGGTCTACAATGGGGCTGACAGCAAGATTCCAGAGGGGCAGGGTGCCTTGTCTGGGCCCCTCCCAGGCTGGAGGCACGGCTGCTAACATGAACAAAAATCCTGGGTTCTGAGCCCCCATTATACTCCAGGCCTCGTCCTGGATCCTCAGCCCATGCCACCTGATCTTGGAAAGCCTCCTTGATGCTGATCACACCCCCACTGTCCCTCTCAGAGAAGGGAAGTGACTTGTCCAAGGTCACACGGCAAGTAAATGGCAAAGCCTGGCCAGAATCCAGATATCTTAACTCCAAGGCCAGGAACCAGCTGAGCCTGACCTTTGCAAATCCGCTGGTGCAGCTGATCCTGTGGGACGGGGAACTTTCTCCAACTCACAGCAGAAGAGGCTCAGCTCTGGGAGGTTAATGGTCTTGGTCAGGGGCACAGACCAAGGCGTGGCTGAGACAGAGTCAAACTTGGGGCTGGGTGGCCATCGGTGCTGGGGTCCTAGGACAGCTTCCTGGTCTGAGTCCTCTCTTTTCCCCCTCACACCACTTCCCTTTCTCCCTCCCACCACCATCGGAGGCAGCTGTCTGTCCATCTGTCGGTCCATCCCAGGGAACTTACATGGGTACCTCAGGGTTGTCGGCTACTGGGATGCGAAGGTAGGTTATGCCCTGGAAGTACAAAACACACACAGGCAGTGGGAGGGGGCTTGCTTGCACCCTCTTACCCCAGCCTGGGCCCCCCAAGCACCTCCTGACCCCAGACCAGTTCCTGCCCCTATCTGGGCCACAGTTGTCCTCTCTGTTCAAAGAGGACCTCCCAGCTCTGACCATCTGTGATTCTAGAACCTTCTAAAAACTTGATAAAAAGGATCCAGGGACCTTTCTTTTAGCCAGGAAAGGGCCACTTAGAGTGACTCCCCTCCAAATGAGGATTACAAAATTACATAGTAAGAAGGGCACAGCAGATTTTATTTTCTTGAAAAGAAACAAAAATTATGAAAGTAAGTTTACACTTCATGAATCGTGGTTATAAAATTTGTGCTAATTATTAAAATAATCAAGGAGTGAATTGTCACTAGTTTTTCCAACAAACTTGTTCCAACATCCTTCACTTCGTGCTTCACCTTCACACAAGTTCATAAAGATGATTTTTGCCCACATTCCAAGAACCTCATCACCTTTCTCAAGGACTTGTCTTAATCACTTGATATTCAAATGGCTCTTTTCAGGTGCCTGGCCCACCAATGGCCAGTGGCTAAGGGACCCCAGCCAGATCCTCATTTGTTACAGGCTTCATGTGAGAGCCCAGCCTTTCTCTAACTCACTTTCACCAAGGTCACTCAATCCTGCATCTTTTGCAAGGTTTGCAATTTCATTTGCAACACATTTGGCCTTGCGTTTTCAGGGCATAATCCACCTCTGACTGGCAAATTCACTGATGGATGGAGCAGGAGAGACGCTTGGGAGAAGAGGGGAGGGCTGTTGGAGCAGGGATTCATTTTACAAGCAGTCATTTCATTAGTAAATATATTCATGACTTCACAACCTTCCCCACACAATCTAGTGACTGCATACTCTAATTACTTCAAAAACAAGCCTGCACTATGAAGCAAAATCAGACTCCACTGACCTGAAAATTTCTTCTTTGAATGACACAGAATCACAGATTGTTGGATGTTGCTCTCAGAAATAATCAAATCAGACACACGGGGAAACGAAGGCCCAGAGAGGGGAAGGATCCTGCCTAAGGTCACACAGCAAATCTGTGACAGAACCTGGTCTGAATCTCAGATCTTCAGAGCCCTTTCCCACCCCCAGTTCTTTACCTCCAGTGGGTGACTGAGACAAACAGATAAGGAGGAAGGGTCTCTGTTCGTGCGATGAGGATGATTAACTTTGTATTACACCAGCTGTAAATTGTTAAGCACCTATTGTGTGGCTTGCAGCAATTCAGTGAGGTCAGCACTCTCATAAAATCCCCTTTACAGATCAGGCAACCGAGGTTCAGAGAGGCGGCGTCCTGTGCCCACGGTTACAGAGAGCGTAAGTGAAGAGGTGCACGCGGGCCTCCTGGCTTCAGCACATGTGGTCGGATTGCCTGCTTTCCTCCTCTGGGTCAAAACACCCTCACCTCCTTTTCCCCAGGACTCATAACACCAGCACCGACTGCTCCTGTGGGAGCCATGCTTTACAGCAGGGATCCTCAAACTTCTTAAACAGGGGGCCAGTTCACTGTCCCTCAGACCGTTGGAGGGCCGGACTATAGTTTAAAAAATAAACTATGAACAAATTCCTATGCACACTGCACATATCTTATTTTGAAGTAAAAAAACAAAATGGGAACAAATACAATATTTGTATTTGCATGTGGCCCGCGGGCCGTAGTTTGAGGACCCCTGCTTTACAATGTGCAAGGCATCCTCACCATCCCACAGCCCATTTGCCCCCCTCACAACAGCCCCCTGGGGCAGATAGAGCTGAGGGATCAGAGGCCCAGGGAGGCAAAACCACAGCACTGGGTCCCAAAACGAAACATAGAGCCCAGAACCATCCATTCGGGGTCATCTATTCAGTTGGGCAATGGGAAGCCATGTAGGGGCCTTGTTATGGCTCAGTGGAGGCATCTGGAGCCAGATGGCCTGTGTTCAAATTCTAGCTCCTTAACTCCCTGAATGTGTGAATTTAGGCAAATTACTTTACCTCAGTTGGCAACCAGGGATGCTAATGTAATAGAGGCCAGTTTTCAACCAAATGAGATACATGGGTCAGGAAGGCAGTAAAGGACTGGCACACAGTAGGTACATGATAAATGGGCGCTGAGGCGGGGGGTGTCTGAAGACCCTCCCCAATCTATGCGCAGCCCTGGGATGGGGGTAAGGAGTACCTGCATCAGAGGCTGAGGTGACTCATGGATGGAGATGATGTGAGTGATCTTATTTCGGCCCAGCTGATCCGGGTCTTTGGCATCTGAAAGAAACAGGAATCTTGAGCCAGTCTGGCAGGTGTGACTATGTGTTCCTGATGGCCAAGTGAGAGGCGACTCCCTGCCCAACTCTCCTTCTCACCTCACCCTCTCCACCTTGGCGGACCCTCTGCCTGGTCCCGGCTCCTAGGCCACCTCCTACTCCTAGCATAACCGGTCCTGCCACACCCCTAGGCTTCAGTCTTGTCTCTGGGGCACCCCCAAGTAATAGCCCGGCATCTCCCCCGCCTTCCCTGTGCTATTCTTTCCATCGCAAACACCCTTTCCTGGCATGCCCTTGACCCAGTAATTCTACTTCTAGGAATCTTGTCTACAGAAGGGTTTGTTCACATGAAGTTTTGTGTGCAGAGGACGATGTTCTCTGCAGTGCTGCTTATAACAGTAAAAACATCAGAAATAGTTAGAAGTGGGAACAATCTAAATGTCCATCAAAGGGAGCTGGATAAAAAATGGTATATTCACACTTGACTACTATGTAGATCTTTATGTGCTGATGTGCAAGGATGTCCACAATATATTATTAAATGGGAAATACAGGTGACAGAACAACATGCAGAATAGGTTTCTATTTTTGTTTTAAATCTAGTATCTGTATCGACAAAGAGATGAAAAATCAGAGGTCATTTCTAGGGGCTGGATTGCCAGTATATACAGACCTTTTATAATCAAAGTATATGACACAGATCGCCTGTCTCCATTTGTCCACATCCTCACCCAACACATTTACTGAGTGCTCCATGCACAGTCTTGGCTTCTGCCCTCACGGGAATTCGGACCTTATTTAGTCAAATACTCAGAAAGCAACGTGGGGCTGGATTGCCAGTATATACAGACCTTTTATAATCAAAGTATATGACACAGATCGCCTGTCTCCATTTGTCCACATCCTCACCCAACACATTTACTGAGTGCTCACCATGCGCAGTCTTGGCTTCTGCCCTCACGGGAATTTGGACCTTATTTAGTCAAATACTCAGAAAGCAACATGGCATGTGCTGCTGAGGTGGCTCCAGGGAGGAAGGGATCAGGGCTTATGAGAGGGGGCACCTGAGCCCTTGGGGGAGAGGGTGATGGGGAAGCCCTATCCCAGTTCAGATGCCCCTCCCTCTCGGAAGCTTTCCCTGACTCTGCAGATGGAAGTGACTTTTCTCACCACGGGCCCCCCAAACCCCGGACCAGCCTGTCTCTTAACACAGGCCCGGGGCAGGCAGAGTGCCAAGGCCTTGGGGCAGAGTGGGCAGTGCTGACCAATGGAGTTTCTGAGGTAGAGTCCAGTCTCCAGGACTGCTCCTCCTCTGAGGAGGTTGTGGGGGGGAAGGGTCTCCAGCTTCCCAGCCAGAAGCAAACCTGCAAACAGACCTCAACCCAGCACCTTTAGAGGTGCTGGTCTGGTGCTGAGGGAGAGGCTAGGCTCCGAGCAGCTGCAGACTTGCCCAGCGCCCAGCATTCTGAGCCCTTTGCCCCTGAGACACTTCCCCACCCGTGTATCTACCCCTCAGTCCTCGTGAGCTCTTTCCCCCTCCCAGCCTGGCATCACTTCCTGGCCCCAGCCCCATTCCTGAGCGCCTCCAAGGTGCGTGGGCCAGAGCATGAATGACAGACATGGGCCTGGGACAGGCAGAGTGCCATGGCCCGGGGCAGAGTGGGCAGTGCTCACCGATGAAGTTTCCGAGGTAGAGTCCAGGAAGTACCTGCAGGAGGGACAGGCAGGGTGAGCCGGCAGGGTCAGCGGGGTAGGGGAGCCTGCCCTTCCCACCCCTGCAGCTGGAGGCCGCAGCCGCTCTCCATCCCAGGAAGGCTGTCTGAACCTCAGGACAGAGGGGCCCTGTCCCTCTGGGGGCCTGGACCCTGTGAGAGGGGTTGGGGAGGCACCAGGGGGCACAAGGCAGGCTGCCTGGGGTGGGGGTGGGAGGAAAGAGGAGGGAGGGCAGGAAGGCCAGGGGAGAGGGTAGGAGCAGCAGGGGAGAGGCAAGGGGGAGGTGGACTTGCCAGGGTGGGTGGTCGGGAATTCTGAGGAGGAGGGAGTGGGCAGCGGGGGAGGGGAGCCTGCCCTTCCCACCCCTGCAGCTGGAGGCCGCAGCCGCTCTCCATCCCAGGAAGGCTGTCTGAACCTCAGGACAGAGGGGCCCTGTCCCTCTGGGGGCCTGGACCCTGTGAGAGGGGTTGGGGAGGCACCAGGGGGCACAAGGCAGGCTGCCTGGGGTGGGGGTGGGAGGAAAGAGGAGGGAGGGCAGGAAGGCCAGGGGAGAGGGTAGGAGCAGCAGGGGAGAGGCAAGGGGGAGGTGGACTTGCCAGGGTGGGTGGTCGGGAATTCTGAGGAGGAGGGAGTGGGAAGGCAGGAACAGGAGGAGGCAGAGAGTCCAGAGTCAGAGACGAGAGAGAGAGAGAGAGAGAGAGAGAGAGAGAGAGAGAGAGTCTAGGAGTGGCTCCCTGACACAGGGAGAAACAGTCACAGAAACAGGCAGATACAGAGACACACCAGGAGACAGAGACAGGAGAGAGAGAGGGAGAGAGGGAGACACACA